TAAAGTAGCTATCTCGCACCGTTTTCGAGATATTTGGCTTTGAAACTTCCAATGCTGTTGCATTAAATTACAATTAAGTACCTACAGGTATTATTAATTTAGTGGTAAAGTTTCTTAAGTAGGATTTGGACGCAAATCAAATAATTGACGTCTTCCACTTGTCTTATTACTGTCATTTGTATGCTAATTTCTATTAAGTATTATTCGTATCTAATTAAAATCACATCTTAGCTTACAAATTAAATTGTATACTCGTACATAAATGTGAGATAGAATGCCGAGGTTTTCGTTTTTGGAGTTACATGAAATCAGTTGTTTATGGAGAAACTATAAACACTTGAGAAGAACTTTAGTAGCAGGTTTTAAATGCTGCAAAGTCATTTCGCATTAAGGATTTATACTTTAAAATAAGACAATCTTTTAATAAACGTGTTGATAAATGTATTGAAGTTAGAGGTGGATATTTTAAGCAATTATTGTCAAAAAGGCATATTTTTTTACTAATGTTTACTATTTTACTGTTCATTACAATTTTTAATTCTAAATAAACCCTTGTTTTTGACATTTCTAAATTATTTTAATTATTTCAACTATTAGCATTGGAAGTTTCAAAGCCAAATATCTCGGAAACGGTGCGAGACAGCTTCTTTCATAAAGTCTACCTTTTTTGTGTAAAAATAGTTGGAAAATAAGAATTTGTAACCAAAGATGAGATACCTTAAAGCACAAAAAAGTTATGTCGTTTTTAACACATTCAATCTACTGCAGCTAGCGCCCTCTATGAACTTTAACCAAAATGTGAATAGATTTCAATTCCTCTACTCAACGAACTCCAATCCCCAAAATTTTGTGAGGATATTTGCATTTGTTAAGGAATAAATTTAAAAAAACTGAAATAATATTTTACATTTAACACCCTGTATCTCTTTAACTATCAACTTTTGGACTAAGGTAAGTTCGGCTAAATCGCAATATTTTTACTTGGGAAATCTACCCATGAATTTTGGCCCATTACGTTGTGACCACCCTGTATTTTCGGTGCCCCGGTGAAAGGCTGCTCTTGGTGTATTAAGTTTAATTACCCGTTGTATGTTAACTTTAGAAATAAACTGTAGTAATTGATAAAGTGTTTAAATTACTGTGCTTCCTATCAATATACTTATTATTGATATAAAAAATGAGTTTATAAATCTGATATAGGGTCTTAATGTGTTAATGTGATAAATGGGGAACTAGAATCGGTTTATCAGACAGTACTTGAATGATTTTGTATTCTACAATATTTTGTAAAGTAATGCCCATTTTATATCTCCACAATTGAAATTAAAAGCGGATAAAAATAATAATCTACTACATTTCGTTAATTTATTAGTGTAGATGTAGATGATATTATTATTTAAAAAATTAAGTGTTCTAAGTTTCGAATAAATCATAAATCAAATTTTATTTATTCAAGGAGGTAATAATAGGCCAACATGGAAATGAAAATCTGATATCTCAACGATAACAATCTCATAATTCTGCATACTAAATATCTAAATGTACACAGGAAAAATTTGATTTTCTCATAGCATTCTAACTTAATTGAAACTTAAATAGGCTCCTAAATAGGTAGGTACCTACCTGTGTCAAAAAAGTCTGATCCAAATAACATTTGATATATTTTTTAAATAAGGAGAAAATACATATTTTTCTTATACATGGATAATTTGTTCATGAATAAATTCACGAAGTTCTTCATGAATTAATTCACGAATTTATCTGTAAACGGTTTGGTTTTACACTGCTACAGACTTCGTGAATTTCTTTGACACATGAATCAGCTCTACCAATAAATCAAAGCAAATAAATTTCAAAAATGTCAACCACTCATAATTGTAGTGGTACAACAGCGGTACCGTTTTAACTCATTTTATATAAATATTAGGTTTTGTTACAAATCAGTAAAAACAATACAAAACTAGTATGATGCCATGCAATTATTTACATATTCCAATAACATAACCTCATTACTTATCTGAGGCTGGAAATTTGTTGCGTTAGTACTTCTAAACTTCACGAAGAAATTGACGAAAATTAGAACATGTTCTAATTTGTCGAGAACTTGATGAACAATTTCATGAAGTTGTTTGACAGCATATTGTTGCCTTACACTTGTCCAATTTCTTGATGAACGACTTCCTGAATTAATTAATCAATAAATTGTCAATGTAAAAACAGCTTTTATAGATGAGTAATATACGGGGTGCTCCATTTAAAAACGTGTAAGTTGTATGAGGTTTTAAAATTTTTAATGTTATTTTTAAAATTTTGATAACCTCAAAGGTTAATAAAGGAAAAATCCTACAACATTTGTATTTAAAAACCATATACCTCCATTCGGCAACGTACTAATAACCCACCTTGTACCTATATTAAATAAATTTATAAAAATTATGGCACCATCAAATATTTAAAAAAGAATTATATACTAACTTTAAAAATTATATACTAACTTTAAAATATTAATATGAATTTTTTTATATGGAAATACATTTTCTGCAGTATGTCAATACTAGAAAAAATATTCGATTTGAAGTTGACTACATAGGTATTCATTCATTCTTTAAAGCATTTTTATCAATACCTACATCATACATTTAAGTAACACAAAAAATACGCATCGACAAAAAAAGTGCACAAAACCGATCCGCGTGCCCGCGTGACAACATTGCTAAACTGTTGTGATGCATTGCTAGGACACGCGTTAGCATTGTCTAGGAATGGCGACCGCTGCATTTGAATCTTCTTAAAATTCGGAAATTTAAAACTGCTGTTCTGCTGTTTGGTGCATTAGCTATTTTGTCTGTGGTGTTGCCTAACCAGAAATGTCCCGCACTGAGAAAAAGTTCCTGACTATTAAAAAAATGTAACACAATCATGGTAAGTTAAATTGTGAAATAGTGAACTCATATTCCACCGATGTTCTCATTGTCAGTGTAAAATATTTTTGATTAGACAAAATTGAGTTTATAAAATCTACCAACCTTTTTGACGCAAGAGGTTACTTATTTATTTTTTCCTTTCTGTGTGGAGGAAATACACGATTAAATAAAGTGTTTCTTGTTTCCAGATTTCCTCTTTTATGTTTCGTGAGATGTATAGTTTTCATTGAAATGCATTTTATATTTATTATTTATTTTTATAGTAAATAATAACCTTAATCTATATTAATAATTTATAGATACATATCTTTTGAAAAGCGTTGATACGAGCATTTTTTTTAAATAAACAAATGTACCCATTTTAATTATATTAATATATTGTTTTTAATAAATCTATCCGAGTTTTTATTACAATAACGCGTATTTTGTGTATATAATTTCATATATACTGTTCACACATACTCTATCTACTGCTATAACAAATCAACTCATGACTTGTGGAACGTGGAAGTTGGGATTGGTGCTATGGGTTGGCAGTGGTCCAGACCTCAATCCCATTGAACATGTCTGGGATATGATAGAAACACAATTAAGAAATCATCTAAATCGGCCTAATAACATAGAGGACATTGGACATCCTCGTGAAATATGTAATGAATTGGATCAAAACGACATTCACTTTTTTTGGGCACGAACCATGGATATGAGGATGTGATCCGAAACAGAGATAAAAATACCTGATATTAAATTAATGGAAAGTATTGTTTATTTCCATATAAAAAATTTGTTACTTAATATTGTTTTCAGATGTGAAATCAGAAATGACAACGGTGCTTGGTTTAAAATTTCAGTATTCTCTTCGCATATTTTCTTTATTCAAAAGTGAGTCTTCAATGTACCCTTCCGCCACAGTGCTCGATCCTCTATCATCCGTGTCTTTTAAGACAAGTCAACTTAAAAGGGTAGCAGACGTTCGTCGTAATGCGTGTCCACTATACTCTTTCCAGTTGTCCAGCTTCAAAAATTTTGGCACTTCTTGGGAGACGGCACTGGTTTTATGAATACCATTCGATGACACTTTCCATTAACATATCTGAAAAATAATCGACGTTCTACCAATTCGGATGGATGTAAAGCAATATATTTTCGATAAAAACTTAAATAATTGTCTCCCAGCACAGTAGTTTAGTTTTGGTATTGGGAATTTTTATAATTAAGGCGGATTTCACATCTTCAAACTTGCTCCTTTGTAAATACTCGCGATTTTTTCGGTACATTTTGTCTCTTGAGAAAAGCACGTAACTTTGAATATCTGCTTATATCAATCCCCTTTTTTATATGGAACGTTGACCGCAACATTGAATATTGTGACCAAAGCGTGGACGGCTTCATTTTATTTGTACCTGATAAGTTAATTTGACAATGATATTTACTATTATAGTTATTATTATGTAGGTATGTGTTGTTACCATTATTGTACGTAGGTACATTATATTCAAAATACTGACTATGCGATTCTAGTTTCATATTTTCAATTCAAAAAATAGTATGCTTACGTGACAAATTAACATTACATTACACGTGACATTAACACGTAATTTTTGTGCTGTTAAATAAATTAATTTTTCTTAAGGAATACGATATACGATATATATTTTTACGTCATAAAATATGATTTGCATAATAATTATATTTTATTAAAATTACATATCTTTTACAAACAAAAATTTCCAAACAGTACGTGCCGACTTTTAAATGAATAAAGATATTTTTCCTCAGTGTGGACTAACTACTAAATGTAACCTTGCAAATCAAATCTCTACAAAGCCAACCCTACCAGTTCCCAGTCATTTATTTACCACGTGACTGACAACAATACATAACTCACATCTGAACATACGTAATTATGCATAACTGAGCTTGACAACAATATTTACCAAATTCTGAACGCAAAATTTCGAACTTTCAGATTATTGAGAGAGCAATTCAAAGAACTCTTCAGCGACCATCAACGGACCCCCTACACCCTGCTAGTAGAAGTAGTAGTAGTTAATGAATGTAATAACAAAAATCTTTATTAAAAATACATTATAAAATAATAAAATGAAAGGTAACGTGTATGATTATTTATAATATACGAGTATTTGTTTCTTTTTAAGGTTTTTCATTTAAAGGTTGTCCTTCTGGTATAGTCTCATTTGAGGATGGAACCTTTTTAGTGAATGCTAACCTGTAGAATAGAGCAGCTATAAAACTTCCAGTTAGTGGAGCAATCCAGTACACCTAAAATAAACATATTGAATTAAATTTCTGTTCAAAATACCAAAGTAAAATCCCCACACTACTAAATTATCTACAGTGACGGCTAGTGCGAGGGGCTCTGAGGCGGCGCGGGCCCCCCCTAGGAATTTTCATGGTAAAAAAAATTTAATTTAAAATTTAGTTTACACTGTTATCTGGATAGTTAAATAGATGATTAACCTTATGAAACACATTAAAAAGGAAATGTAAAATTTGTAATGTGTAGTCAATTTAGCTCGACTTGCAAAATTCCTTTGAACAAATCTGAATACGTGGGCTTCTCGTGGCTCGCTTCTAATTCTGTAAACTACCTACTATGCAGTTTGGGCTCTGTCTAGTCCAACCGTAACCAAATAGTAGCTATTCACGGCTTTTTTTCTTATTAAACGTAATCTGTTCAGGTGTAGTGTAAAATTTTATTACTTACGTATTGCTTCTTGTGTTTTGTAAAACATTGTAAAAGTTTAAAGACAAACTAACATTAATGAAAAATTGAATGAATTGAAAATGAATGGTGCGAGAAATGGAAAAAGTAATTGAAAAGTTCATTTCGGACAATAGCAGAAGAATGAATTTTCAGAATAATAACATTTTCCCTATTTTTAAATAGTACTTAAAATAAAGCTGCCCAATTATATTTATTTTTTTTTTCAATACTTTATATCTTAATTCTTCCGGCCTCCCTGGTATGGAAGTCAAGAGCTGTTGATTATTATTTATAATATAGGTACGCTCTAACAGCAACGATGCGATAAACTTTTCACCCGTCAAAACAAACGAAAAAGTAAAAAAAATCCTAAAACTATTTCTAAGGACTATGATTTTTCAAAGATTGGAAGTGAAACAGTTTTTGATTAATTGCTCAAGAACCATTGTAGGTACAGATTTCAAATTCTCTCATAGTAACATAATTTCATAAAAAATTTGAACAAAAACTAACCAGAGGATTTGAGAGGTTTCAAATACCAAACACCTCATTTAAAATTTTTGTGACTTTTTTCCTAAAACATTCACTGTTTTTTAATGTTTCATAACTTTTTCTGACAGTTCAAACTCTTCATTCAGATCCTTACTAATTCAGATGCCACTGATTAGTTTACTTTCTGGTTAATATAAAGGAACTAAACTCTTCCAAATTTGACGTATATATCTTAAATTACACATCTCCACATTGAAAACTTCTGTACCAGAGACATCAGTACATAGATTTAGTGTATTCTTTCATGTAAAATCCGAATCCGTAGGCCAAAGAATGATTTATTAGGTTACTTTTTAGTAAAACACTAAAACATCACTAAAATAGGATGAGGATAAGAAGTTTTATAATGAAATCCAGCAATTTGTAAATACATACTTTAAGAAAACATTCTAAAATAATATTGTGAGCATTAAATTCACAACCAGCCCTACGAGAGGGTTAATTCCACGCCTAAAATCAAATAACGAACGTTAGTCCAAAACAGTGTGTAAACCATATCCCTGTATTTTATATTACCAAATATACAAGGTGATTAAGTCATAATGTCGTTAATTTTAAGGGAATATAGGGGAAAATGAATAGAATACGAATACGCTATTAAAAAAACCAAAAATTAAAATGCATATTTACTAGTGCTGGCAACTGAAACCGGTTTTTTGGATAGTCGGTTAACCGGTTTCGGATAATTCGGATTTTTATGAAATCCGAAAACCGGTTATTCGGTTATTCGATTCTTCAAATATCCGAAAACCGGTTATTCGGTTATTCGAATCTTCAAATATCCGATTATTCAAATAACCGATTATTCGATAATCTACTTCCTTTTTTTTTTTTAGACATCGATTTGTCCGATTGTAATTGACCTTAGACAATTTCTCCGGGTCTGTCTTTGTAAAGCACCGATTTTCAGGTATCCGGTTTTGGCGATTCAAGTAACGGGTTATTCGAATAACCGGTTTTAGCAACTATTCGACTAACCGGTTTTATCTGAAATCGGTTTTTACGGAACCCGGTTAACCGGTTTCACTTTTTTCCGGTTTTTGCCAGCACTAGT